GTCTTGGCATGGTACGTTTCTTGCCCTTATTATACAATAGAACAAGAGTAGAAGGATATTTTCTGAATTCTAATGAAAAATCTGTTGAGAAAATATTTTTACTCACTGTTAGTAGGTGGCAGAAAAAGTCCATTGATATAACGAGGTTTGCTGTGATGGAAGGCACAGTTGATCCTCACACAGCCTGAGGGTTGTCTTTCCCACAAGCAGGCAATGTTCTTTAACTTCTGCTGCAGGAGGGAACAGTTTTCAGATACTGTAAATGAACTAGTAAAAATGGACTTAATGGATCAGTACATGATGTAACTACTGTGCACATACAAGTAAGACTTGGTGGGAGTGTATTTTGATATTTCAGAACATTTAAAGAGATCTTGAATAAAATCTGCCGTACATGTGGCAAATCTCACACAATTACTCTCTTACTATTACGAGTACATGGGTCTGTGGGAAAATGAGAAGTAAAAAACAAACCCCACAAAGATTCCTGACAAGAAACAAAAGCCTAGACATTTGGGAACTTGTAATCCTTGCACAGACCTGTCACACTTGGACTTAAAAATCTGGAAAAAAATCTTTTTTTTTTTTTTTCCAGTTCCCATTGGAAACATCAGCTCGGCTGCAGAAAGTCACTTTTGTTTTCAGACTTAAACATGTGTTTTGAAGGGACTTGCTCCTTTCCACCTGCATTTCCGTATCTCTAAATCCACTGAACAGATGCAACTATCTCCATTTTCATAGTGGGCGCACAGTACCGCATCCAAGAGGTTTTCCACACTGACAGAATCTGCACCCGAAGAAAACAAATTTCTGGAGATTCACACTGGTTTCCCATACCCCCGTGGCTGTCATAAAGGTGACTCTGCTCTTTTAAAAGATTTTGGTTTTAATAAATGGGGAAGATGATGCAGTAGTCCATGTATAACAGTGTCACAGTGACAAATGCAAACTCATGTTTCTATCCTGGATACAAACCGCATCCAGGCTGAGAGCTATACACGCCAGGTGACCTGTTGTTTCTCAGTGAGTTTGTGAGTTTTTAAAGGCAACAAAGACACGCTTTAAAATATTAGAGTATTTGAAGGTCGGCTTCACCCAGTGCCAGACATTTAGAAAGAAAAGAGGCCACGTCTGGACTGTAGTCAGGAGAACTGGCCTATACCTGGAGAATCTCTGGGGTCTGGAGCCAAAGCCAATTTCCCAGCCATTAGTGACAATTAATCATCCCCCAGTGATGAAATGTGGACAATAACCAAGTGTCCATATGGCCACCCTGATTTTCACTCAGTGGAATTTAAGTAATTTTTTTGAGGACAATCCCTTTCTGAAGAGCTTTGTTTTAAACAAGAGATTTTACAGTAATTCAGGAAGTTGCTCCAAAAAGAAATTATAAACGTGGTCTGTTTGTTCAGAATTAGTATTATGTTGACTCAGTAAGAAAGTGATGAGTGGTCTATAGGTGTGATTTCTAACCTCTGTGTTCTCTGATTGCCTGCGCCCAGTTGAAATTGTATATAGTTTAGATTACCTTTAGCTCTTCTCGTCACGTACCTGTGCATAGGGGGAATAAAACTGGAAATAGCATTCTGTCCCATTCGTGTCCATTTTCACCTCCATCACACTCTAGTGTGCAAAGGAGATGGTGCCTTCTGCAGGCTCGCTGAGCTGACGTCAGCAACTGCTAGCCAGTAGAGAATGTTCAACAAGTGTTCCGTAGTCTGGGTTCCATAGAATGTTTTGCGGTTGTCAAGGGCTCCTCCAGTTGGTGACGTCAGCATGATGGTTGCATGTGGCCTGTCCCGCTTGAGCATCTTTCTTGATCTCGTTTCATCAAAGTATGGAAAATCAGAGCATCTCCAAGAGGCTCCTACTCTCCCACCCCATATTCCTTTCACGTATACTGAAACAAACCCATCTTGTGGTGCTTAAATAATACCCAACTTCTTCTCGTAGAACCTGTGGTCTTGGAAACAAATCTTTGAGAAGACAAAGATGAACTTTATTCTTTGAGTGTTTTTTTAACCCAAGTCCCTGTGCCCCACATTTCTTACTGCACCTCTTTCTGTGGATTGCTGCTTCCCGCTACTAGGGTGCTAGGTGTTAAATGCTTACACTGCTGGGGTTCATTGGTTTTTCTTGTTTCTATGATGTCCAGTGCCACAGCTACAGCAGAAAGAGCAGCGGACACTTGTGTCCCTAAAGAACAGCTCTGATCCCATTCAGGTGCTAGGCATCCTCTGAATAAAAAATATCTGTGGGGAAGAAGAACCTGTATATTTGACATCAGTGACTTGGAAATGAATGCTTCTGTGCACTGTGGGAACAAATCATGGGAACTTGGTAGTAAAACACAAACGGAAGCACAGAAAAGAATAGGAGATATGACCCCAGGGAGAAAAATGCCATTACTTTGAGAGTCATAAGGATAGAGATGAAACCAAAGAAACGGGAGGGAGGATACAAGGTAAACAGCAAGAAAGAGAATCAGTGGCTCATAGCAGCATCAGAAGTGCATGAGACCAGCGGTTCCACGGGAGAAGGAGCAACAGAAAAACACAAAGAAAAACAACACAAAACCAAACAAATCAGAAAAACTCCGCAAGAACCCAGCCCAGCAGTGCATGGTGACTAGACTCACAGGACAGGTCAGCAGAGCACAGCGGTGCTGTACATTAGTGTGCCAGGGCAGGACTGACTGGGGCACACAGGGGAAGGAGAATTCAGGAAAGCAGATGAGGGCCATGAGTAAGGAGCCATCAGTGGGCAGAAGCAGCCCTAGGAAGGCCAGGTCAGCTGTGCCAGGGGCTATCCACAGAGGCTCTGTAGTTGCGCAGCTGGGCCTACATGAGGCACAGAAGCAGGGCTGGTCAGGAAGAACCGATTCTGCCCTGGGTTTGTGTGGCAAAGATGCGGTAGCTGGGGGCTACAGGGAGCAGCTGCTGGAAGCTTCCCATGTGTCCAACAGGGCCAATGACAACAGGGGAGAAGGGACTGGTGAGGAGGTGGTGTTGAGAAATTTGACTTTTATTTTTTCATGCCCCTGCTCGGCTGCGATTGGCAATAAACTGAGAGAAAAGGGTGAGCGATCTCTGTCCGTGTCCTTGTGTCGACCAACGAGCCTTTCGTTGCATGTTCTCCCCTCCGTGCAGCTAAAGAGCACAGCGGCAAAGCAGCTTTGGTGAGCGAGTGCCTGGCGTCCAGGCACAGTCAAGCGGCAGAGACTCAAGGGTTGTACGCCGAGGCAGAGCCTGGGTAAGGACAGCAGGCGGCTGTCCTGAAGGAGAGGTCCCCACAGCTTGGGGCCTCAGACCGGCCTCGGCCTCGCGGCCGCCGGGACCCATCTCCGAGCACAACTGTGGCTTCCGGGCCGGCCCTGGCCCGGCGGCAGCTGCCGCTGGGGAGAGCGGAGCTGCCCCAGGCCCGCAGCCGGGCCGGGCGGGGCGGGGCGGCGGAACCGACCCGAGGCTGCGGGCTGCTGGACACGGGCAGCCCAGCTCACCCACCGCGCCCACGGCCGTGCCGCAGAGCTTGGCGGGGGAAGCAGTAACGGGCTCCACTTCCCGTGGCGCCCCGCGGGGGCGGCGCAGGCGCAGTCGCAGTGTGTGCTCAGCGCAGGCGCAGTCGCAGTGTGTGTGTGCTCAGCGCAGGCGCAGTCGCAGTGTGTGTGTGCTCGGCGCAGTCGCAGTGTGTGTGCTCGGCGCAGGCGCAGGCGCAGGCGCAGTCGCAGTGTGTGTGTGCTCGGCGCAGGCGCAGTCGCAGTGTGTGTGTGTGTGTGTGTGTGTGTGTGTGTGTGTGTGTGCTCGGCGCAGGCGCAGTCGCAGTGTGTGCTCGGCGCAGAGCTGGCAACGGGGGTTGTGAGGTGTGGCGGTGCGGTGCAGCGGAAGGTGCCGTGTTTGTTCGAGACGGAGGTGGCGAGGAGTTCGGCTGCAGATCTCTGGCGAAAGGGATGGTGGCGCATCCGGGTCCTCACGCAGGTGTTGCGTTTGCTTTTTCTAAGTGTCGGGAACGGTCACGGCAAGGAACGGGGTCACTCCAGGATAATGGTACTGGGAAACTTTCAAGGGACCCAACCAGTATTCTGACTTCCCGATCTGGAAAAGGCAGTCTACGGACAGACTGGGAAAACAAGAAGTAAGGGGGGGGGAAACGTTTGGCGTGGTGATGACTACTTTCTCTGGAGATGTCTGAACACCTGCCTGCTGATGGGAAGTGGTGAGTGAGGTCCTTGTTTTGCTTTGCTTTGCTTGTGTGTGTGGCTTTTACTTTACCTATTAAACTGTTTTCATGTGAACCGAGGAGTTTTCTCTCAGTTGTCCTGATTTTCTCCCACACGTCAATGGGGCGGGGAGTGAGTGAGTGAGTGAGTGAGTGAGCGAGCGAGCGAGCAAACTGCTGTGTGGGGCTTAGTTGCCTGCTGGGGCAATTCCTCAGTTGGTGTTCCTTCATCAAGAAGAATCTGACACGGGATTAGATCTCAAACTGGCCCATGCATGTTCAAAGATTCTGTATTTTATGCTTATGGCTACAAACGCAGTTCCTAAAACAGAAAGTATTTAACAGCAGGATGCTTTTGCCATAGTTCACTGGATTGCCTGGGTATTGCTTGGAATAAAATGGTGCTATTGCCTTTCAGCTCCAAACTGAGGGCTCAGAGCAGCTCACTGGGTTGAATTTCCGTTGCCCATTGTCATAAAGGAAGGCACGTCTCCAAATATTGCAGTGCTAGACTGGAAACCCTTCTAGTGTATATGCACTACTTGAACTGCATACAAAGGCAAAATTATCTCTAACCAATAATGGGAAAGGCAGAAAGAGTTCGCAAGGAGATTGTCTTTCTTCTTTTGTCTTAGAGCAATTTCCAAGCTGGCACGTCTTCGGGAAACACTGGAGTACGTAGATAGGATTAGAAATCAGGAATAGGATGGATAGGGCTGGGCTGATAGAGTCCAGTTGTCAGGAATAAGAATCTGCATGAGAACAAGGCAGTAGCATAGCCATGATGAAGGATTAAAATTTAATCACTTTTGAAGTGTTACAGTGTACTTCCTACGTGTTATTTTTGGAATTTGCATTCTTATCGTGTTTGGTTTCTCCTCTTGAGAATTCCCCTATCTTTCTGCAATTTAGGTTGTTCTTGTGAATTCAGGTACTTTCTTCATCTCCCTCCTGTCTTCATACCCTTCTCGTTTGTGGTTCACTTCCATGTCTTTTCGGTGCTGTTGTCAAAATACAAACACAGAACACCTTGTGCATAATTTCCTATGGCAAAACTATACGCTCTTTCAGAAGCAGTTTAAGCAGTAAACCGTCGACACAAGAGGCAAGGTCAAGTTGTCATCTCTGCTTTCTGCTCAGCTGTAAAATCTATTAATTTTAGGCCCTCAGGGCATTCTGTGAATGTTTACTAGAGTGATTCCTTTCATGAATTAGGACCGTGGCTGATGAGTGTTTGGCTTTTGGAGATGCTACATAAGCAGACAAAGAGAGACAAATAGACCACGCTCATGCAGTGTCTCTGCTGAGCTTTGTCTAGTGCTACAAGCCAAACCCCGTCCTGTAGCTCCTCATTGTAAAGGCAAGTACAACTTTTGCCTTCAGATCAGTAACACTGTACAAAATTAGGAATTATTGTCTGCAAATCCATACAACTCCTAACTGTTCTTTCAGACTGCTCAGCATTGCATAGGATCTTTTTGGGATTTGGTTGGGGGAGTTGTTACTATGAAATTCTGGTTTCTAGGTGGGGAGAGACCAGGCGGTCAAAATCTCTATCAAGCAGTTACCTGAATGGTTGTTTTAGTCTTGGAGAATGTTTGTGCCTGTGGATTTCTCTTCCTTGGAGTTGGTGCATTATAGGATCCTGAAGTGTATTTGTCTGTAGGAAGAGCATAGACATGGTTTCCTCACTTGAGATGTACTTTCTGGGAAGACTCTCTTAGCCTGACAGGTGAATCAGATATTACATTATTACAAATACTGCGTTAGCTGAAGCATCCACAAATGCATCAGGTGACTCATGCGATTCTGCCATGGTTGTCCTGGACTTTAACTAAGTGCATGTTCCTGTCATGAAAATTTTCCCAAAGGCATCAACTGCTTTTAGAAGAAACTAATCCATAATTCTGTCCTCCTGTTTTATCCCTGCTTGTGAACGCACTTAGGTGCAAGGCAATGTTATGTTTAAGTACCCTTGTTTTCTCTTAGTTCCAGACTAAGTGCATTAATTCACATTGTTTATTCCATACTAAACCTGAAATATTCAGTTTACACCCAACACTGCGGTATTACCACAGTTTCCTGTTTGCGTCCAAAATCTCCTATTCTTGCCAGGTTCATTCTTTCCTTTGGAGCATTTCCAAACAGATGGCTCAGGAACTGCTGAAAAAACCTAACCCAGTAACCGAAATGGCAACGGTTGTTGTTATGAGAATAATGCTGATCACCTTGTTTTAGACATGCTGTATCCTTTTTTAACCTGGAAGCTTGATAAGATGTAGTCTTCACATTAAGAACGATCTCTCTGGAACATCTGCACCCATCTGTCCACATTTTATCAAGGCAAGCATTAAAAGCAAAAAGAAAAACCCCAGATCTGTTGGTTCCCAGGACAAAGCAGTGATTTTGGGATTCATTTCCCTTAACCTTACTGATCTTCTCCATATGAAAAAGGTTCCTTTCTTTGGAAATGAGCACCTGGAGGCACCTCAAGATGATGATTCTGCCCATCTTGAGAGAAATGACTGTAAGTAGGAAGAGGAAATTACTTTTAATTAAGGCTTACTGAAATTATTTGCAGCTAAGAAACCCTGAAATGATGTGCCGTATTCTGTGAAGCTCAATTAGCAAGCTAAAAATAAAGCTTAAAGATGTAAAATTACACTGATGTTAGATGGCCAGAAAGACACAAGACTTCGAATCCCAACTGTAACCTCATGTCAAATTTGAGACATAGCACATTCTATCAGGAGGACAGTAGTGTATTTCCAAGCTGAAAAATTATGAAGGAAAATATCATCCTTCGTGAATGTCAAGAAGTATGAATTCAGTGCTCTGTCCGACAGAAATAGTGTGAAAAAGCAATAACAATATAAATCACAAAAATTTGCAGCTTGAGTAATAGATAAAAGGTACTCTAAGGAGTGGGAATCTATATATTTGTGCATAGCCGCATTCATCCCTCTATGTTGGGTAGAGAAAAGAATTCCTGCTTTGAAGGTGGTTAATTACTGTTCATGAATATTCTGTCTTGACTAATTGCAGAGCTTTATAAGGCTTTGCATTTCTGTCAGTGAGTACTGCTGCACCGTACTTGTGAAAGTTATGCTGGATCAAATTTGCTCTTACCCATCTTCAGGCATAAATCACTTCCTGTTCACCTGCAGGATCACACTTGACTGCAGCACAACAGAGGCAGGTATATTAGAGGCATTTTAAGAATCCTCCATTTAAGCAGGAACCCACCTCTAGGTCGGCTGAACTTGGGTTCTTTGGTGACTGTGACAATCCAGTTGACTACATATGCTGATGTTTGGGGTTCTGAATAATAGAAAGAAGTCTTTCTTCCCGCTTCTTTCTCATGATAAAGAGAAGAATTAAAGTAATTTAAGAAGAAAAACCAAACCAATACTGTTGTGCTATTAGTGAAAATTTTACACACTGCAGGAGACAGGATACTTGATGAGTTATTTCATTGATGATACGATGTTCAGCAATGAGAAGTCAATGATCAAGTATCCTGTCTCCATGTTTCAAAGGATTTGTGATCTGTTTTGGGAATAGTCTTTCTTGGTACTCTTCTTCCTGAACTCTCTCCTCCTTTTTTTGTATCATTAAATTTTATAGGATTTGGATATAAGTTACCTCCTCGTTCTTTAGCTGCTCACTCTTCATGTATGATACGTAAGAAATCTGCCTGATTAAATTGATGGTATTTTCAAGGTGCCTGTTATCACAGAACCTAAAGCCTCAGAGAACTTGGCTGAAGAAAAGCTTTGGGGAAACATATCTGTCCTTTTCTTGGAATGTACCACTACATCTCATCATCTAGACACCAGAGAGGTCCAGCAGAGAGTTCAAAACGCCTCTGGGAAAGCTGTTTTTAACCATTCTTTGGCATCCTCACGGTGCAATAAATAGCCCTATCAGAGTGTAAATAGGGACTCTTGTCCCTGTTTACAAGAGAGAGCCTGCTAGAGAAATTGAAACCAGTTCTGAACATTAGAATGGTTAAAGTAAGAGTACATAAATTGTGATTTTGAGGAGCAATTACACAAAAAACTGATGTTGTGTACCCGAGGAAAGTACTCCTGGCGTTAATATTGAGCCCATTTTCATCTTTTCCAGTGACAATTGATGCAGGTAGCCACCACCTGTGTGATACCCATGCACACAAATAAGAAGAAAAACTTAAGTATTTTTATGATATTTGCAAACGCCTTAGGACTGTCCCTGAGTTCAAAAAGTGGAGAGGAGGGGCAAACTGTGTCCTAGTTTCTCCTTGTAAGAGTAATTTCAAAAGTGGTACCCATTGTCCGAGGCGATGAAAAGTACTTGGCTTTCTGCAAGTCCCACTGGGTAGCTTCCGAGGGCCGTAGCTCAGTTTCCTGGGACGGTGACACAGGGTTAGGTGACTGCCGTTGGCCAGGCTGCTGAATCCCGTAAAACTCTCCTGAACATTATCAAGAGGGAAAAATATCCCAAAGATTACTGTGTGTGCAGCATGGCTGCTCAGAAAAGCGTGACAACTCCTTTCGTACTTACCAGATTTATAGCATATTTCCTTTATTGCTCTTTCCTCTTCGATATCCTCAGCAGTCTTAGGCACACAGTCAGTAACATCTGTGGGAAATATTTTTAAAAGATCAGGGGATAGCTAGACAAAGACCTTCAACAATTCTTAACAGTCAAATACATAATGAATTTCACTTGGTTACGCTTTTTGGCTCTTAGTTTTCCTTTTTATTTCCATCCCAATTACAACCTCTGCTTCCGGACAGGGAAATCATTCCTTCACATTAGGTACTTCCAAGGGCAAGGGAATTGCAGTTACAAGCCTTGTAAGAAGATAACATGTGTTGACTTAAAATTATTAGTATTTTAATTTGTGCAGTGTGCGCCTTAGAGCAGGTTGTTCTCTGCTTTCACTCACCGGGAATGTGCAGTTCATCTCTTCCCTATGGATCTCCCATCTCTAAATGAAATTCACTGAATGGTTCAACCACACTTAAAAACTTTTAAAACCTAAGGACCTAAGTATATAAACATACACATTCAGGTAAACTAGGAAAGAGCTTGGTATGCATTTTGTCTGCTAGATTTCAGACTAATGTTCTGTGATGAGACTGCTTACGGAGTTGAGAAAATCGGTACAACAGATTATATAAGTTGAATTCACACAATTGTCTTTTGTAAACAAAGCTGTGACTTCCATCAGCTTCACTGATGAGTGAGTACAGCCCGTGTTCGAAAGCTGGTTTCCAGGAAAAGAAGTACCTCCTAAGCCTGTAACGTCATCCCTGAATTATGAGGACTTGTGAAGAGTATTCGATGGCCATCTGAATTGTGGATCATATTATCTGAATTGGGGATCACCCTTTAAAGTCTAGTTAATGAGAAAGAGGAATGTGAGTTATACCACTGTTGAAACATACAGCTGGGCATTTCACAGGAGTTAGAAAATGGTGCCTCACTCGCAGCTGGTGACTGTCAGGTCTGATAATTTGGAGATTTGCTGGAAACTCTTTTAGCAACTTGTCAACCACTCTTTTATGCAAATAGTGCTTATTCTAATGAATCAGTTGACTGTGAAGTACATTGTAATGTTTTACAAACCCCATTCTACTTGCTTGTAAAGGGTAGAAAAAACTTGCTTACAGTTCTCTTCATCGTCCTCTTCATCATCATCTTCATCATCCTCTTCATCGTTGAGGTTTATAATCAGTGGAGGGTGAATTGGTATTACAGTATTCTCTGGACGTGTGAGTGAGCCTTGACACTGGGCTGGAGGCAGAATCACTTCTTGGTCAGCCTGTGGCAATGGCGCATCTGCAGAAAAGAGCATTAGGTTTATTTTGTGAAGAGGGACCTGTGATAATCAAATCCAGGTTGAGACTATCTGGTCTAATTTCAAAACCATTGTCATATAGATATTGCAGTCATTTCCACCTGTGGCCATTTGCACGTCTTGTGCTTCCCTACTCTCACTTGTGCGAAGGAGATGGTAGCTTCTTTAGTCTTTTTGAGTTCACATTCTCTACCAGTTGCTAGGCAGTATAGAATGTTCCATTGCCATGGCTGCCAATGGCTTGTCTAGCTGTTGACATCATCATAATGGTTCCGTGTGGCCTGTCCAGCTTGAACATCTTTCTTTATCTCGTTTCATCAAAGTATTGAAAATCACACGATCTCAAAGAGTCTTCCATTCTCCCGTCCCATGTTTCTTTAATGTAAAATGGAACAAACCCATCTTGTGGTGCTTAAATAAGACCCAACTTCTTCCTGTGTAGAACCTGTTGTCTTGAGAGCACAAAGATGAACATTATTCTTTGAGCGTCTTTTAACGCAAGTCCTTGTGCTCCACGTTTCTTACTTCACTCCTTTTAGTGAATTGAGAAATTACCTGATTCCTGCTCTTAGGTGCTGTGTGTTAACTGCTTACACTGCTGGGGTTCATTGTTTTTTCTTGCTTCCATGATGTCTACTGCTACAGCAGAAAGAGCAGTGGATGCTTATGTCCCTAACAAGCAGCTCTGATCCCATTCAGGCCCCAGGCTGCCTCTGAACAAAATATATAGTCCTGTGTTCAGCAGTAGCAGTCATTTTTCTCCTTCTTAGTAGCTGGTGCAGTGCTGTGGTTTTGACTTTCGGCCTGGGAGCAGCGCTGATAACACCAGTGCTTTTAGTTCTTGCTAAGTAGTGTTTAGTCTGACCAAGGGCTTTCTGAGTCTCATGCTCTGCCAGGGAGGAGGGAAGCTGGGAGGAAGCAGAGACAGAACACCTGACCCAAGCTAGCCAAAGAGGTATTCCATACCACAGCACGTCATGCCCAGTTTGTAAAACTGGGGGCAGTTACCCGGAAGGGCTAGATCACTGCTCGGGTCGGGCTGGGTATCGGTCGGCGGGTGGTGGGCAGTTGTGTTCTTTTCCTTTGTTATTTCCCTTGTCATTATTATTATTATTGGTGGTAGCAGTAGTGGTTTGTGTTATACCTTAGTTACTGGACTGCTCCTATCTCAGCCCGTGGGAGTTACATTCTTTTGATTCTCCTCCCCGTCCCTTCTGGAGCAGGGTCAGGGGAGAAGGGGGGAAGTGAGACAGAGACTGCATGGTCTGATGTACGGCTGGGCTTAAACCACAACAAATATTTAAAGGGGTAGATGAAGCTGTAGATTTGACATAGGCTCAATTCCTCAGCAGTGAGTGACATCAGTGACTTGGAGATACCAGCAACAGTGGCAGGGCCTCTGGGATAACATGTTTAAGAAAGGAGAAAAAAAAACAACCAAAAACCTGCAGTGATGCACCTGAAGAGAGGGGTGAGAATCTGTGAGTGCAGCAAATCTGCAGACCCCAATTGCCGTGAAGAAGTAGTTGCTGGAGCAGAGATTCCCTTGCAGTCCATGTGAAGACTGTGGTGAAGACCATGGTGAGGCAGGCTGTCCCCCTGCAGCCCATGAAGGACCCCGCTCTGGAGCAGGGGATACCCAAAGGAGGTTGTGACCCCATGGGAAGCCAGCACCGCAGATGTCTGAACACCTGCCTGCTGCTGGGAAGTGGTGAGTGATGTCCTTGCTTTGCTTGTGTGTGCAGCTTTGCATTCCCCTTTGAATTGTTTTGATGTGAACACAGGAGTCTTCTCACTGTTGCCCTTCTGCTTCTTTCTTACAAGTCACCAGGGAGGAGGGAATGAGTGAGTTAGCAAACTGCTGTGTGGGGCTTAGTTGCCGGCTGGGGTTAAACTGTGGTACTTCCTCAGTTGTTGTTTCTTTATACAGAAGAACCTGATGGAGATTAGATCTCAAACTGGCACATGCTGGGTTTTCTTTACAAAGTACAGGCAAGGATACCAGAGAGGGCTGTGACTGCTAGGGTAGAAGCAGGGAGGTTTCTGGAAAATCAATCCGTTTTCTCTGTCCTCTGAAAATTTCCCTTTTCATGAAATCTTCATGGATGCTGCATTTTAAGATTAATGGTGACAGACCTGGTTTTTAAGATAGGAAGTATTTAACACCAGGATGCCTTTGCCATCTCGCATTGCACTGGCCTGCTTTTAATAGCATAACAGAGGAAGAAGTTTTGTTGGTTTGAGGTGCCAAGTTCTCTGCAAAGAGCTTTGAGGCTGAAGGATGAGGCTGAAGAAGGTGTAATACTGTGCTTGTCAATTCAATGTGGTCAAAGTTCAGTGTAATTTATATTAAGTGATTACAGTCTTGATACAAGCAAGGGAAATAATGAAAATAAAATATGATACGTCTTCACTTTTATTAGGTAAATGTATCGTACATTTAGGATTATAGTGAAATTATTGTTAAACAATTTCCACAATTTCTAATGTATTGAAACACTACAGAGAGTACCCTACATCTTACTTTTGAAATTTACAATTTTATGATCGTTTGAACTACAGTTGAGAATTCCCTTATTTCAGTTTAGACTGTTCTTGTGAATTCAAGTACTCGTTTCATCTCCCTTCTGTCTTCATATCGGTTTCCTTTTTGGGTCGCTTCCATGTGTTCTTGGCTCTGTTGTTAAAATAGATACGCAGAACACGGTTTTGTGCATAATTTCATACAGTAAAATTATACACTCTTTCAGTAAAACTATACAAAATTAGGAATCACTTAGTTCTACAGGCCAAATTTCAGGTCTGCACATCAACACAACTCTTAACTGCTCTTCCAGACTGCTCAGCATTGCGTAGGACCTTTTGGGATTTGGTTGGGGAAGTTGTTACTTTGGAATTTTGGTTTCTAGGTGGGGAGAGACCAGGCGGTCAAAATCTCTATCGAGCAGTTACCTGAATGGTTGTTTTAGTCTTGGAGAATGTTTTTGCCTGTGGATTTCTTTTCCCCCAGGTTGGTGCATTATAGGATCCTGAAGTGTATTTGTCTGTAGGAAGAGCATAGACATGGTTTCCTCACTTGAGATGTACTTTCTGGGAAGACTCTCTTAGCCTGACAGGTGAATCAGATATTACATTATTACAAATATTACTTTAGCTGAAGTACCCATGAGTGCATCGGGTGAGTCCTGCAGCACCTCTGAAACAGAAGCTAGGATTAAGTACAGATTCTCTCTCTCTCTAGTTCTCTCTTCAAAGATTTTTTTTTGTAATCTTTCAGGCTTTCCATAAGGCTCACAGGACCTCCCAAGCGAGGCAACTCTGCCACGGTCATTCTGGACTTTAACCAAGTGCATGTTCCTATACTGAAAATCTTCCAGAAGGCATCAGCTGCTTTTAGAGGAAACTAATGCATAATCCGGTCCTCCTGTTTTATCCCTGCTTGTGAATGTACTTAGATGCAAGGCAACGTTATGTGTAAGTACCCTTGTTTTCTCTTAGTTCCAGACTAATCGCATTAATTCACATTATTAATTCCGTACTAAAACTGAAATTTTCAGTTTACACCCAACGCTGCAGTATTACCGTAGATGTCCGTTTGTGTCCAAAATTTCCTATTTTTGGCAGGCTCATTCTTTCCTTTGGAGCATTTCCGAACAGATGGCTCGGGAACTGCTGAAAAAAAACCAAAAAACAGTAGCAAAAATGGTAATTGTTGGTATAACAAAAATCATATAAACATAGAATCATATAATCACAGAATGGTTAGAGTTAGAAAGGACCTCAAAGGTCATCTAGTTCCAACCCCTCTGCCGCAGGTAGGGTCTCCTCACACTAGACCATGTCACCCAAGGCTCTGTCCAGCCTGGCCTTGAACTCTGCCAGGAATGGAGCATTTACCACTAATTAGGCAACCTGTTCCAGTGCCTCATGACCCTCATAGTAAAGAACTAGTTCCTTAAATCTAACCTTAACATTTTAAGTTTAAAAACATTGTCCTATTGCTACCATCCCTGATGAAAAGTCCCTCTCTGGTATCTTTGTAGGCCCCAGTTGTGGTTTAAGCCCAGCCAGCAACTTAGAACTGGCTGGGCTTAAACCACCACAGCCCCCTTCATATACTGGAAGGCTGCTATGAGGTCTTTATGAAGCCGACTCTTCTCCAGGCTGAACAGCTGCAGTTTTTTTTTCAGCCTGTCTTCATATGGCTCAAGGCTCCTTGTCATCGCTGTGGCCCTCCTCTGGACTTGTTCCAAAAATCCCATGTCCTTTTTATGTTGAGAACACCAGAACTGCACACAATACTCCGAGTGGGGTCTCACAAGAGCAGAGTAGAGGGGCAGGATCTCCTCCTTTGACCTGCTGGTCACGGTCCTTTTGATGCAGCCCAGGATACAGTTGGCTTTCTGGACTGCGAGCGCACACTTCTGGCTCATTTTCAGCTAATACCCCAAAGTCCTTCTCCGCAGGGCTGCTCTGAATCACTTCACTGCCCAACCTGTAGCTGTGCCTGGGATTGCCCTGACCCAGCAACCTTGCACTTTGCTATGTTGAACTTCATGAGGTTGGCATTGGCCCACAACTCCCCCTGGATGGCACCCCTTCCCTCCAGCTTATCAACCAAACCACATAACTTAGCGTCGTTGGCAAACATGGACACTGTCCATGTCGCCGACAAAGATGTTGAACAGGGATCAGTCCTAACACCAACCCCTGAGGGACACCACTTATTACTGGTCTCCAGTTGCATGTTGAGCCCTTGACCACAACTCTCTGTGTGCAGCCATCCAGCCAATTCTTTATCCACCGGGTGGTCCATCCATTAAATGTATGTCTCTCCAGTTTAGAGACAAGGATGTCGCGTGGGACAGTGTTGAATGATTTTCACAAGTCCAGATACGGTCAGGAAAAGGAGAAAGTCATATAAACCCCAAATGATGTATTAGATTTTTGAGGTTCTATTAGCAAGTTAAAAATAAAGCAAAGGTCATACAGTTATGGTTACATCCAAACCAGATATCCAAGAAGAACAAAAGAAGTCTCAGTATCCCACCTGTAGGCTCCTGTCAAATGTGAGAATAGTACATATTATCAAGAGGACAAAGACAAAAGAAAATATCATCCTGTATGAATGCAGGAAGAATGAAATTGTGCTCCGTCCAACAGAAAAAAAAAGTGAAAATACAATAATCATAAAAATTTACACTGCATTTGAATGAAGAGCAGTTTGAGTAAGATCTAATCCTTTTTTATTCAAGATGAAAAAAAAATCCTGAATAACATAATTGTAAATCCACCATACTTAATTGAGAAGTTAAAGGTGCTATTCCAAGCTTTAATACATATTTCAAAAGAATGAAAAACACATTAATGAATGTGGATTGGTATATTCATACATATCAGCACATCATTGCAGTCGTCCCTCTCTGTTGGGCAGAGAAAAGAATTCCTGCTTTGAAGGTGGTTAATTACTGTTGATGAATATTCTGTCTGACTAATTGCAGAGCTTTATAAAGCATTGCATTTCTGTCTGTGAGTACTGCTGCAATCTAGGTATGAAAGTTACGCTACATCAAATTTGCTCTTACCTGTCTTCAGGCATAAATCACGTATTCTACCTGCAGGGACACAATCGACCACAGCACAATACAGGCAGGTATATTAGAGGCATTTTAAGAATCTTCCATTTAAGCAGGAACCCACCTCTAGGTCGGCTAAACTTGGGTTCTTGGGTGACTGTGACAGTTCGGTAGACTACATACGCTGATCTTCGTGGCTCTGAAGAATGGGAATGAGGCTTTCTTCCAGGTTCTCTCACATTAGGAAGAGAATCGTTTTCACCATCCTTACAGTGACCCTTTGGTTGGTAACTGGGTTGTGCATTAGGTTCTGCAGTGTGGCTTTCTAAAAGTGAAAAAACAAACCATACTGTTGTGCTATTATTGAAAATTTGACATACTGCAGGAGACTGAAGGCTGGAAGACAAGATTAAGAAAGTATTCATTGTGGATAGCCCAATCCAAATACAGACAGTTATGTCATTCATGAGGTAATGTTTAGCTGTAAGGACTCCACGCTCAAGTATCTTACCTCCATTTTCAAAGGATCTGCAACCAGTTCTGGAAATACTCGCTTTTGGTACTCTCCTTCCCGTACTCCCTCCTCCTCCTCTACTTGTGTTGCTCAATTCTGCAGGAATTGTATTGCTTTCACCTGTGAAAGCACCAGAAACAATGTTTCAGCTGCTGGTGTTTAAGCACTGGGAAGGGCACTGCCATTCGCTTCCTCCCACCTCTGGGAGCTTGTCATGAGTTCAGTGCAGTTGCCTTCCAACTCCCTTTTTATATTCTTCTCTCTCTTTCGGCTGTTCTTTGGATCCTGCCTGAAGTAACTCCACTACCTAACACTCATGCCCTCCAAGAAAATACCGTTGTACACAGAGTAAAGAAGGCACTGGCTCCAAAGGAAAGAACCAGCTCCAAGTGACCTGCTTGTTCTTCAGCTTCCCACTTCCCATGAATGGTAGTTATGAATCCTACCTGACCAAATTGATGGTATTTTCAAGCTGCCTGTCATCACAGAACTTAATGCCTCGGGGAACTCAATTAAAGAAATGCTTTGGGTAAATCTGTCTATGCTTTCCTCAGAATGTATCTTATGAAAAATAAGGATGTGCCTTAAACCCAGATATTTCTTACTGTTTCTCTCATCTGTACTCTAAACATATATAAACATGTGCCAGAAAAAAATCATCGAAACTATTCTAACAAGATGCATTTTAAATGTAGGAAGGAGAAAACCAAGAATCTGCCAAATTCTGTGGAATAATTTAGGACTGCAAAATTGGTCAGTCAATACTATACAGTGAAAAGAATCTTAGGATGCTTCAAACTACACTACATAAATTTAGATTGTGAAGAAAAATCAAAAGAGCCGTAGCTCATTTTCCTGAGACGGTGACACAGGGTTAGGTGACTGCTGTTGGTCAGGCTGCTGAATCCCGTAAAACTCACCTGAACATTATCAAGAGGGAAAAATACCCCTAAGTTTACTGTGTGTGCAGCATGGCTGCTCAGAAAAGCGTGACAACTCCTTTCGTACTTACCAGATTTATAGCATATTTCCTTTATTGCTCTTTCCTCTTTGATATCCTCAGCAGTCTTATCCACCCAGTGAGAAACACCTGTGGGAAATAGTTTTAAAAGATTAGGAGATAGCTAGACAAAGACCTTCAACAATTCTTAACAGTCAAATACATAATGAATTTCACTTGGTTACGTTTTTTGGCTCTTAGTTTTCCTTTTTATTTCCTTCCCAATTACAACCTCTTCTTGCGGACAGGGAAATCATTCCTTTAGATTCACTCTTCATGTATGATACGTATGAATTCTGCCTCATTAAATTGATGGCATTTTCAAGGTGCCTGTTATCACAGAACCTAAAGCCTCAGAGAACTTGGCTGAAAAAAAGCTTTGGGGAAACATATCTGTCCTTTTCTTGAAATATACCACTACATCTCATCCTCTAGACACCAGAGAGGTTCAGCAGAGAGTTCAAAATGCCTCTGAGAAAGCTGTTTTTTACCGTTCTTTGGCATCCTCACGGTGCAATAAATAGCCCTATCAGAGTGTAAATAGGGACTCTTGTCCCTGTTTACAAGAGAGAGCCTGCTAGAGAAATTGAAACCAGTTCTTAACATTAGAATGGTTAGAGTACATAAATTGTGATTTTGAAGAACAATTACACAAAAAACTGATGTTGTGTACCCGAGGAAAGTACTCCTGGGGTTAATATGCAGCCCATTTTCACCTTTTACAGTGACAATTGATGCAGGTAGCCACCACCTGTGTGATACCCATACACACAAATAAGAAGAAAAACTAAGTATTTTTATGATATTTGCAAACGCCTTAGGACTGTCCTGAGTTCAAAAAGTGGAGAGGAGGGGCAAACTGTGTCCTAGTTTCTCCTTGTAAGAGTAATTCCAAAAGTGGTACCCATTGTCCGAGGCGATGAAAAGTACTTGGCTTTCTGCAAGTCCCACTGGGTAGCTTCCGAGGGCCGTAGCTCAGTTTCCTGGGACGGTGACACAGGGTTAGGTGACTGCCGTTGGCCAGGCTGCTGAATCCCGTAAAACTCTCCTGAACATTATCAAGAGGGAAAAATACCCCAAAGATTACTGTGTGTGCAGCATGGCTGCTCAGAAAAGCGTGACAACTCCTTTCGTACTTACCAGATTTATAGCATATTTCCTTTATTGCTCTTTCCTCTTCGATATCCTCAGCAGTCTTAGGCACACAGTCAGTAACATCTGTGGGAAATATTTTTAAAAGATCAGGGGATAGCTAGACAAAGACCTTCAACAATTCTTAACAGTCAAATACATAATGAATTTCACTTGGTTACAGTTTTTGGCTTTTAGTTTTCCTTTTTATTTCCATCCCAATTACAACCTCTGCTTCCGGACAGGGAAATCATTCCTTCACATTAGGTACTTCCAAGGGCAAGGGAATTGCAGTTACAAGCCTTGTAAGAAGATAACATGTGTTGACTTAAAATTATTAGTACTTTAACTTCTGCAGTGTGTGTCTTAGAGCAGGTTGTTCTCTCCTTTCACTCACCGGGAATGTGCAGTTCATCTCTTCCCTATGGATCTGCCATCTCTAAATGAGATTCACTGAATGGTTCAACCGCATTTAATAAGTTTTAAAACCTAAGGACCTAAGTATATAAACATACACATTCAGGTAAGCTAGGAAAGAGCTTGGTATGCATTGTGTTTGCTAGACGTCAGAATAATGTTTTGTAATGAGACTGCCTATGGAGTTGACGAAATCAGTTGAGGAGATTATTTAAGTTGAATTCACAAATTATCTGAATTGGGGATCACTTTTTAAAGTCTAGTTAATGAGAAAGAGGAATGTGAGTTATACCACTGTTGAAACATACAGCTGGGCATTTCACAGGAATTAGAAAATGATGCCTCACTCGCAGCTGGTGACTGTCAGGTCTGATAATTTGGAGATTTGCTGGAAACTCTTTTAGCAACTTGTCAGCCACTCTTTTATGCAAATAATGCTCATTCTAATGAATCAGTTGAGTGAGAAGTACACTATAATGTTTTACAAAATACCTTCTACTTGCTTGTAAAGGATAGAAAAAACTTGCTTACAGTTCTCTTCATCGTCCTCTTCATCATCTTCTTCATCATCCTCTTCATCGTTGAGGTTTATAATCAGTGGAGAGTGAATTGGTATTACAGTATTCCCTGGACGTGTGTGTGAGCCTTGACACTGGGCTGGAGGCAGAATCACTTCTTGGTCAGCCTGTGGCAATAGCGCATCTGCAGAAAAGAGCAGGATCGGTACTAGAGAGATATAATCTACCAAATACCCAAGGAAAAATCATTCCTGCTCTGTGGATCTCAGCAATCTAAGCTACCGTTCATGACTTCATCTTTCATACCACTGGTAGCTATGACAATTTGTAACATGATAGGCAAAATTCCTGCAACAACATTCCAATGCCAAAGCATTCCAATGCCAAAGCATTCCATGACTTCAGTATCTCGCTATAGCAGATCATGCCTGACTGTCTTGGCATGGTACGTTTCTTGCCCTTATTATACAATAGAACAAGAGTAGAAGGATATTTTCTGAATTCTAATGAAAAATCTGTTGAGAAAATATTTTTACTCACTGTTAGTAGGTGGCAGAAAAAGTCCATTGATATAACGAGGTTTGCTGTGATGGAAGGCACAGTTGATCCTCACACAGCCTGAGGGTTGTCTTTCCCACAAGCAGGCAATGTTCTTTAACTTCTGCTGCAGGAGGGAACAGTTTTCAGATACTGTAAATGAACTAGTAAAAATGGACTTAATGGATCAGTACATGATGTAACTACTGTGCACATACAAGTAAGACTTGGTGGGAGTGTATTCTGATATTTCAGAACATTTAAAGAGATCTTGAATAAAATCTGCCGTACATGTGGCAAATCTCACACAATTACTCTCTTACTATTACGAGTACATGGGTCTGTGGGAAAATGAGAAGTAAAAAACAAACCCCACAAAGATTCCTGACAAGAAACAAAAGCCTAGACATTTGGGAACGTGTAATCCTTGCACAGACCTGTCACACTTGGACTTAAAAATCTGGAAAAAAATCTTTTTTTTTTTTTTTCCAGTTCCCATTGGAAACATCAGCTCGGCTGCAGAAAGTCACTTTTGTTTTCAGACTTAAACATGTGTTTTGAAGGGACTTGCTCCTTTCCACCTGCATTTCCGTATCTCTAAATCCACTGAACAGATGCAACTATCTCCATTTTCATAGTGGGCGCACAGTACCGCATCCAAGAGGTTTTCCACACTGACAGAATCTGCACCCGAAGAAAACAAATTTCTGGAGATTCACACTGGTTTCCCATACCCCCGTGGCTGTCATAAAGGTGACTCTGCTCTTTTAAAAGATTTTGGTTTTAATAAATGGGGAAGATGATGCAGTAGTCCATGTATAACAGTGTCACAGTGACAAATGCAAACTCATGTTTCTATCCTGGATACAAACCGCATCCAGGCTGAGAGCTATACACGCCAGGTGACCTGTTGTTTCTCAGTGAGTTTGTGTGTGAGTTTTTAAAGGCAACAAAGACATGCTTTAAAATATTAGAGTATTTGAAGGTCGGTTTCACCCAGTGCCAGACATTTAGAAAGAAAAGAAGCCACGTCTGGACTGTAGTCAGGAGAACTGGCCTATACCTGGAGAATCTCTGGGGTCTGGAGCCAAAGCCAATTTCCCAGCCATTAGTGACAATTAATTATCCCCCAGTGATGAAATGTGGACAATAACCAAGTGTCCATATGGCCACCCTGATTTTCACTCAGTGGAATTTAAGTAATTTTTTTGAGGACAATCCCTTTCTGAAGAGCTTTGTTTTAAACAAGAGATTTTACAGTAATTCAGGAAGTTGCTCCAAAAAGAAATTATAAACGTGGTCTGTTTGTTCAGAATTAGTATTATGTTGACTCAGTAAGAAAGTGATGAGTGGTCTATAGGTGTGATTTCCAACTTCTATGTTCTTTGATTGCCTGTGCGCTGTTGAAATTGTATATAGTTTAGATTACCTTTAGCTCTTCTCGACACCTCTGAAAATTATGTATTTTGATTTACAGGTGCTGCTGTGACACAGAGAAGATGCCATAGCAACTTGAAAGTTTACATAATGGTCCTCCCTTTCAACATGGAGATATCAAGAAAATCAAGGATACAAACCACTCTAAAATCTAAAGTATTTACCTGTGCATAGGGGGAATGAAAATGGAAATTGAGTTCATTCTCTGCTGCTGCTATCTTCACCTCTTCTACCTGTCCTTTTCTCTCAATACTCTCTGAACAGACATGAAAACATGAAAGCTTTTACATTCTGGCAAACCGTAATCTTATCCTAAAATCAGTAGCTTTGTTTCAAAATCTGGACCTTGAGAATATTAGCTCTGCTGGGGTTTTTTTGAAACAAAACTCCACAAAGCAATAGGCTTCGAGGAAGGATGTGGTACCTTCAGGCATCCTGAGCTGAAGGAGGCAGCTGCTGTCCGGTGTAGAGTGTTCCGTTTCCACGGTTGCCAACGGCTCCTCCTGCTGGTGACATCAGCACGATGGTTCCATGTGGCCTGTCCAGCTTGAACATCTTCCTTTCTCTTGTTGCTTCAGAGTAAAGTATGGAAAACGGGACCGTCTCTCAGAGTCTCCCATTCTGGTGTTTCTTTACTGTAAAATGTAGTAGGGTGCTAGGTGTTAACTGCTTACATTGCTGGCGTTCCTTGTTTTTTCTTGTTTCTACGATGTCCAGTGCCACAGCAGAAAGAGCAACGGACACATGGATCCCTAACAAAAACTGCTGTTCCCATTCAGGTCCCAGGCTGCCTCTGAACAAACAAAATATTTGGGGGGGGGGGGGGCGGAAATTAAATTTTGGTCCTGGAAATCAGTGAAGGCATGCTGTTATCTCCAGTTCGTGGGGTCAAATCCACAGCAGTGAGAGACATCTGTGACTTGGAAATGAACACCTATGAGCACTTTTTTATAAAAACGGGGAATTTAGGGAAAACAAACAAATAGAAAATCACAAAGTAAAAAAACCCAACAAACTCCACAAGAACCCAACCCAGCAGTGCATGGTGACTAGATTCACAGGACAGGTCAGCAGAGCACAGCGGTGCTGTATGACATTAGTGTGCCAAGGCAGGACTGACTGGGGCACACAGGGGAAGGAGAATTCAGGAAAGCAGATGAGGGCCATGAGTAAGGAGCCATCAGTGGGCAGAAGCAGCCCAGGGGCTGGATAGCCCAGGGGCTATCCACAGAGGCTCTGTAGTTGCGCAGCTGGGCCTACATGAGGCACAGAAGCAGGGCTGGTCAGGAAGAACCGATTCTGCCCTGGGTTTGTGTGGCAAAGATGTGGTAGCTGGGGGCTACAGGGAGCAGCTGCTGGAAGCTTCCCATGTGTCCAACAGGGCCAATGACAACAGGGGAGAAGGGACTGGTGAGGAGGTGGTGTTGAGAAATTTGACTTTTTTCATGCCCCTGCTCGGCTGCGATTGGCAATAAACTGAGAGAAAAGAGTGAGCGATCTCTGTCCGTGTCCTTGTGTCGACCGACGAGCCTTTCGTTTTATGTTCTCCCCTCTGTGCAGCTAAAGAGCACAGCGGCAAAGCAGCTTTGGTGAGCGAGTGCCTGGCGTCCAGGCACAGTCAAGCGGCAGAGACTCAAGGGTTGTACGCCGAGGCAGAGCCTGGGTAAGGACAGCAGGCGGCTGTCCTGAGGGAGAGGTCCCCACAGCTTGGGGCCTCAGGCCGGCCTCGGCCTCGCGGCCGCCGGGACCCATCTCCGAGCACAACTGTGGCTCCCGGGCCGGCCCTGGCCCGGCGGCAACTGCCGCTGGGGAGAGCGGAGCTGCCCCAGGCCCGCGGCCGGGCCGGGCGTGGCGGGGCGGGGCGGGGCGGCGGAACCGACCCGAGGCTGCGGGCTGCTGGACACGGGCAGCCCAGCTCACCCACCGCGCCCACGGCCGTGCCGCAGAGCTTGGCGGGGGGGGCAGTAACGGGCTCCACTTCCCGTGGCGCCCCGCGGGCGCGGCGCAGGCGCAGTGTGGGCTGGGTTCGGCTCGGCTCGGCTCGGCTCGGCTCGGCGCGGCGCGGCGCGGCGCGGGGCTGGCGGTGGGTTGGGGCCGGGATCATGAGGCGTCGGGGTGCGGTGCAGCGGAAGGTGCCGTGTTTGTTCGTGACGGAGGTGAAGGAGGAGCCGTCGGCCAAGCGGGAGCGGCAGGTGGTCGGGGCGGCACGGGGCTGGGAGGGCGGTAGGAGGTGGGGGCCCCAGTCTCCGCGGCGGGGCCGAGTCCGGTGCCGGGTCGAGCTGACCGGAGCGCACCCGACGGGGTGAGTCAGCCGAGTGGTGAGAGGTTTGGCTGCAGGTCTCTGGCGAAATGGACGGTGGCGTATCCAGGTGCTCACGCAAGAGTCGGAAATGGTCACGGCAAGGAACGAGCCTGCTCCACCGTGGACAGACTGGGAGTTGTGTAAAACTGTCGCGCCATGCCCGCCTGTGAGCCTTGTGGGGAATAAACGCGCTTTTTTCTCTTCTGTTTTGTTGTGATCCGGGCAGTAACAGGGTTATGCGGGAAGAATTCCTTTGAGGCTGTAAAACGTGGGATATCTAATAAGGGGAAAGTAGTGGATCCGAGTCAACGTTACGACTTCCTGAGATGGAAATGGCAGTGTCAAGACAGACTGGGGTGTGATTCGCCTCTCTAGCCATAGACCTTCAATCTTTCTTACCTGGTTTTAGGAGCAGTACCTACTGTTTTCTGTCAGCTGCATGGTGAACTTTTATCCGTGTGGGTGACTTTCACCCTTTAGTATTTCACTTCTGGACGGAAGAGCTGAAATGATTGCCAAGACTTCAGTAACTAAGTTGTTCAACTCTGAGTAGCAACACCATCGTGGTAATGGTCATGTAAGGGTCTCCCTATGTATTTTCTTAATTCATGCAGAAGAAACCATTAGGGGATTAGGTCTAGAACTGGCATACGCTGTGTTTTCCCTTTTTTCAAACTGCAGGCAAGAATTCCAGAGGGGGTTCTGTTTGCTGGGGAAGAAGGGTGGTGGTGGTCAGAAAACCAACGGGAATTTTACCTTCTTACCCTGAACGATTTTCATGTAATCTTCATAAAATTGTCATAGATGATTGCAAATCTGTTTTCTAAAATAGAAAACAGCCCATTGATACAAAGAAAGCCTGTAGAAGGTTCTCATTTTATGAATTCAGAGTTCTGTTTTGAGATTCACAACTCATAGGTGTCCTGGGAGAGAGGAGGAAGGGGAGATGATTTTGCAGGAACATTTGAATCCAAACACGACTGGTGATATGTTTACAGTGATGCTGTTACAGAACCCCGCTTAGAAATTTGGAATAGTTGTGGGTGGCTGTTTATTTCAGATGCCTGGATCACTTGTGTCTTTGCTCTTGGAAGTGGAAGACTGTTTAGTTGGCAGCTCTGATACCAAGTGTGTAACATCAGGATGCTTTTGCTACCTTGTGTTGCACTGGCCCTTGTATTTCATGGCATAAAATGGTGCTGTTGGCTTCCAGTTCCGAACTGAGAGCTTGGAGCAGCTCATGGGGATGAATTTCTGTTGCCATTGTCATACAGGAAGGCACATCCAAATACTGCAGCATTAGCCTGGAGCCCTTCTAGTTTATATGCACTACTTGAAGTGCATAAAATGGCAAAATTATCTCTAAATAATAAACAAGTGTGGAAAAGGGGGAGAGAGTTTGCAAAGAGATTGCCTTTGGTCTTCTGTATTAGAGCATTTTCCAGGCTGCCATGTCTTGAGGAAACTGGTGTATTTTGATAGGGTTAGAAATCAGGAATAGGATGAGTAAGACTTGGCTTCTAGAGTCCAGTTGTCAGGAGCAAGAATCCACATGAGAAAAAAGACAGTAATCTAGCCATGATGAGGGTTTAAAATACCTGTCTTTTTTTCAGCCGTTTAAAGTTTTGGCTACTGAAACTATAACTGCAAAGGCGATAGAGGCAGATATATACAGTGCAATTCCTACTGAAAAGGTGGATGGAACCTGCTGTTACGTAACTACCTACAAAGGTAATGCAACGGTTTTGTGAGTTTTCTCATGCTGAGTAGAAGCCTTGTTTTATGTAGCTTTTGCTTTTGTTGTGAGGTTTACTGGATTACAGCTTTTGTGAATGCAGCTGCCATTGAAGATCTTGACCACGCAGTAATAGTTACCGTAACCATAGGTCCATGTAGTCTAATGAATGTATGAATTTATGTAGTGTCTTTGGCCGTAAAATAATTTCTCTTGTTGCAAATGAGAATTCATACCTTGTCTTTTATGTACTTGATTTCAGCGGGTATGGTCACCTCAGTAAACTGCTGGTTTTCTTTCTCTGGAAACTCTAGGGCAACCCTATCTGTGGGCTAGGCTGGATTGTAAACCTAACAAGCAAGCTGAAAAAAAGTTTAAACAATTCTTGTATTCATTGGAAGATTGCAAAGGTTGGTGAAGATTTCTTACTTTTTCTTTTCCGATAGAAGTTAATCTAGTTTGCAAAGCGGCTCTCATGTAATGCAGGAAATGTCAGTGATCATACTCAAATTATTTTAATGTCACTCTTGAAGAGAACTTTAGAGTCGACTGAGGAAGGAGATACCAAAAGCAGTGCAGTGGGTGAGATAAGGGCTGGCATGGTATGGCCAGTGGGTGGCAATGCCTGTGGGAACGTTTACAGGTCTCCTGGGAGCATGGAGAGCTCAGGAGTGTGTCTGAAATTCTTGTCCACCAGTGCATGCAGTGTGAGAAGCAAACAGCATGAAATGGAAGCATTGGTTAGCTCCCAGAATTACACTATCATCGGTATTATTGATACTTGACGGAATGAGTGGCGCGATTGGAGTGCTGGGAGGGAGGCCTACAGGCTGTTTAGGAGGGATAGAGAGGGCAGGTGAGGTGGAGGTGTTGCACTGTGCATGAGGGAAAGGTTTGACTCTACAGTCTGTATGGTTAGTAGGTGATGCAGTTGTGGAGTAGGGGAAATGGAAAACAAAGGAGACGTTGTAGAGGGGTGTCTACTTCCAATAGCCCAACCAGGATGCAAGCAGCAGTAAGTTATTTCATAGGCAATTAGGAGATGTTTCCGGATCGGTAGCCCATGTCCTTGTGGGAGATTGCGATTTCCCAGACATCAGCTGGGAATATCATACTGCTGTGATGAGCAGGTCTTGGAAAGGAAATCCTATGATCTCCGGAAGCAAGGTCGGGCTTTGCTGGAGTATTAGAGAGACATGGTTTGTATATCATAGAACTGTAGGGTAGTTAGGGTTGGAAAGGACCTTAAGATCATCTAGTTCAAACCACCCTGCCATGAGCAGTGACACCTCACACTAAACCGTGTCACCCAAGG